GGTGGACATTAAGTTGCAAGATACCAGTATCAACTGTTGCAAAGGAAACCCCATGCGAATTACTGAAAAGCATAAACTGTTCATTAGTTTGAGCCACAAGACTGATCTTCTCTGCAGGCTTGGAGAGTGGAGTAGATTTGGAATCCAAAACCAAATATATTACACCTCTGTAATATTTTCTGAGAAGAAGAGTATTCAATAAAATCTGTCAGTTATCATGGGAGGATATTAAAGCTTTGTAAGACATTTTTCCACTCAGGAAAGGAGAATACCTCCTCTCCAGTAGCCTTCATAAAGATTATAATCTGTATTATCTTTTAATGATATCATCAGAGGAAATTCAGTTATCTATTCTATAAGAGCATCATCCTAAACAACTCAGTCCATCTTTCACCATTAGTTATCCCAGTGAAAACTCCAATCTCCAGTGTGCTTTTTCACTTGGACAGGGGCCTAATGGATGAGATTTCAAAGTAAAACATGAGATCATTAGTTAAGTGTGACACCATCTGAAGACAGTCTGAACCTCAAAATAAAGTTATATTCTTTACTATACGCATAGTGTGTAACTTTGATACAAAAAGATCTCTTGTGGTAAAGCTATATGTTATCTCCTAACAATTTATCTCAACTGCACAACTAAGCTGGAATTGTGAAAAGCATAAACGTGACATTTTATCTGCAGTTTGCATATTTATATCGACAGTTCCTTTCTAGTTCCCATGTATCCTGAGCAGTTTTACATCATCTTTGTATGCTGTGCTTCACTTCCTGCCAGTTATGAGGCACATTTGTGTTAGCACATGCTTTAAGAGAAACAAATTTTGAAATGCCAGGAAATAACTGAAGTGGTGCTTGCTGGCATTCTGCCGACCTGAACTGAAGACTGATGGGTAAATGGGATAAAGTTTTTCTCACATTAGTTTAGATAGCTACTGAGCATATTTTTTCTGTCCTTTTGGCAAGGAAACAGGAGTTAGGTTTCGAGAATTTGGCAGCATTCCCAAGCCTCTGTTCTGCTTTGCTGATCACCTGTCTGTCATTGGGACCTTTGATTTTCCTAATGAAGAAGGAATGGAGCCATCAAGCATGAGGCTGCATTGCAGCTGATGACAAGTGCTACATGGTTGTACCAAATTTTCAGGGGTGTTGTGTAGGGACAAGAGATCTAGCAGGACATAGAGGATTATAGGAAGATAGCAGAGGATGAGAGAATAAGGAGACATTTGGAAAAAGTGCTGACTACATGGTATGGGGAGAGACTCAGCAGGGGGCTGAGAAAGGCACATCCACAGCTCAGTAAGAGAGCCCTTCTGCCACTGGAGTAGCTAATAGGACTTTCCAAGCTTGGCAGTACATTTTCCACAAAACCATGCTGTCAACTGATTCCTGACTTTCAAAAATAGGAAGATTTCTTGTCAGAGGTAAAACTTTCAGTATCTTAGCTAACTAAGCATGGTGCTGCACAGACTCTCGTATCATCTGTGGTATAGGTAGCAGCTTTGGAGCAATTAACAGCCTGGGGAAGAATCCTACAGCTCTCCCATCTAGGCAGGTTCTGCACCACAGTCTTGGATAGGATGTTCACAGTGATCCACTGGGCCATTTTTTAAAAAGAACAATGTTCAATCTCTTTTTGATTGTAATACTGAGACAATCCTAGAAGATTAGACAGATGGGAGTGCTGTGCTGCTTCTGTTATTCTCCAAATGGTGGTTCATGGGTACTAAATTCTCTTTACTCAAATATTATGCTCTGAAATGAACAATAAAGATGAAGAATTGCTGTTTGTTATGCTATATGGTCTCTGGAGTGCGGTTCTACCTATGTTCTCAGAAAGACAGCTTTAGTTTGCTGTTATGATAGATACTAGTATTATTTATGAAATTATAAACTAAGCATGCTTAGTTTATTGCTATTGCTGAAGATATAATGTCTTCTGGGAATTTCTATGCAAGGTTATTTCTTTTTTTTTCCCCCACAAGATTAATGCTATAAGCAAAATTTAAAAATGCACTTCCATGATAAGCTATCAACTGCATAGTAAACAATTATTCTTGTACTGAGACTATTTACATATAAGTAAAGCTTCCTGATACCTTCAGAATAGACTGACAAGGCCCAAGGACTAAAGTGATTCCTTAGAATGACAATATTTTACTGGTGAAACACATTCTAAGACTCTTCATCCTTCAAAACGATAGAATCATAGAATTATCTTGGTTGGAAGGGACCTTGAAGATCATAAAGTCCAACCATAACCTAAATCTCCCTATCTAGCCTAGCCTAATTACAGGTTCAGTGCTTAAATCATGTCACTAAGCACTATATCTGCATTCTTTTAAATACTTCCAGGGATGGTGACTCCACCACCTCCCTGGGCAGCCTGTTCCTCTGTCCAACAACTCTTTTGGTAAAGAAATTCTTTCTAATATCCAGTCTAAACCTCCCCTGACACCGTTTCAGGGCATTTCCTCTCATCTTGTCAAGATCTACACATCTGTCTGATGTCAGTAGTCTTACATCTGCAACAATATGGTAAAGAGCTCAAGCAGTTATTTAAACTTCAATGAGATTCTATTTTTGGGTGAACCTTTCATTGCAGGCTAGTAGTAGTGGGAATATAAATAGAATCAGATAATGAAGTTGCAGTTCTGTCAATTTTATTTTTTTAATAGCCAAAGTAAGTTTTAAATAGTGGTTTCTGAAAAATAGTATTTGAGGCATTAGATTCCTGATTTTGTTTTGTAAAATACAGAAGGCTGAAAAACAGCTTTGGCACAGGTTGACCGGGACAGATCTGAGGTAGCATTAACTGGTTTCTGGACCATGAAGTAGGAAGGATTTGCACATTACAGTGAAATGTGTTTTATTGGGTTTTTGTGGGTTTTTTTCAAAATCTGCCTGGGTGAAAAAAGAAACAAAACATTTAGTATATACTTGTGATACATATGAGCTACCAAAGAGATCCCCATGATCCTGTCTTACAGCACACATGAGATCAGACTTTCAGGATTGTGCAGTGATGGCCCAGGACACCTGCTCAGAATTCTGAGGAGGAGATACCATTGTTGGAGCAGGTCCAGGGGAGGCCACAAAAATGATCAGAGGGCTGGAGCACCTCTCCTGTGAGGAAAGGCTGACAGAGTTGGGGTTGCTCAGTCTGGAGAAGAGAAGGCTCCAGGGAGACCTTGGAGTCTTTTGATACTTAAAGGTGGCTTAAAAGAAAGATGGCAGAATTTTCATTGAGGCCTGTAGCAACAGGGCAAGGGATAATAGTTTTAACTGAAAAAGGGTGGATTGAGACTAGATATAAGGGAGACATTTTTTATAATGAGGGTGGTGAAACCCTGGAGCAGGTTGTCCAGAGAGGTGATGCCCTGACCTGGAGACATTCAAGATCAGGTTGGATGGGGCTGTAAGGAACCTGGTCTAGTTGAGGATGTCCCTGTTCATTGCCAGGGGAGGTTGGACTAGTTCTGTTAGAGGTCCCTTCCAACCCAAACTAGTCAACAATTCTATGCTGGTGAGTCTTTCACCTTTGAATGTAGGATTATTTTCTTCTATCTCATCTGCCATTGAAGGACAAGATGGAATGATGTCTATCCACTCTACTTTTCACCCTGTTCTACCTCAACCTGTCAAGGCAGTTTCAGAAGGAAAGACTCTCTAATGTGGTGCCTGACAACAGCAATGTTTTTCTGCTTCATTTTCTTTATTTCAGAGATGAGAACTTTAACATGATGGGGTTACCTTGTCTTGGCTTCTCTACTGTTTAACTGACAGCAGCAGAGCAGCATGTATTAAATTCAAAGTTGATTTGCCCTGCACTGGGGGATTAGCATGAACAGTAAGTCAGTGGCATAATTAGAATGGAAACAGAAATTTGTACCTGATCAGTTGCAGAGATGTGCAAAGAAGTGTCCCTTGACAAAGTTAGGACCAAGAACTCTCTTGCTGGAATCTTGACATTCATTTCTTGAGACCACCTTGTGGTAGTAACAGTGTAAGGAAGTGCAACTGCTCTGTCTTTCCTAAAAAATGTTGTTTAGTAACTTTCATATTCTTCATGAAGTCTTCGTATTATGTCAAATTCTGCTGCTCTTCACAACAGTGACATTCTTGAGAATTGATTTTCTTATGATCTATGAGATACTCCACGTCACAGCAGGGCTGGGAGGTGTCCCTTGGGAAAAGTCTGTGCTTGAACGTCTAAAGCAACAGGTGAAGTGTCATTAGTGAACAACACATGATGTTTTTAAAACAGCAGCGTTGTTGTATGACCCACAGCATGTCAGTGCATGTGTGAAGAAGGGATTTCTCCTTTGCAGTCATTTACTGCTTCCATCACGGCTTTGGGGAATGAGGTTAACGAGAATCTTGATACCTGGAAAAGTCCTGTGCGACTCCAGTCGTTTCAAAGCAGGTGGTGCCCGCAGGCGGGGGCAGCAGGAGCAGCCCCGGGCCTTCCCCCTGTCGCTGCCCCG